TAGAAATAGAAATTCCATTTGACCCAGCAATCCCATTACTGGGTATATATCCAAAGGATTACAAATCGTTCTACTATAAGGACACGTGCACACGAATGTTCATTGCAGCACTGTTTACAATAACAAAGACCTGGAACCAACCCAAATGCCCATCGACGATAGACTGGATAGGGAAAATGTGGCACATATACACCATGGAATATTATGCAGCCATCAAAAACGATGAGTTTGGGTCCTTTGTAGGGACATGGATGAACCTGGAAGCCATCATTCTCAGCAAACTGACAGAAGAGCAGAAGATCAAACACCGCATGTTCTCACTCATAGGCGGGTGTTGAATAATGAGAACACATGGACACAGGGAAGGGAGCACTACACACTGGGGTCAGTTGGGGGGAAATAGGGGATGGACGGTGCGGGGTGGGAAGCTGGGGAGAGATAGCAAGGGGAGAAATGCCAGATGTAGGTGATGGGGAGGAAGGCAGCAAATCACACTGCCACGTGTGTACGTATGCAACAATTTTGCATGTTCTTCACATGTACCCCAAAACCTAAAATGCAATAAAATAAATAAATGGGAAAAAAAAAAAAAAAAAAGAGTGCAACTTAGGAATCTCCTATACTTTTGCCACACCTTTAATCAATGTTAATTGAACTAAAAGTTTAGCAGGTAATTGTAATTTTAAAATTTCAAATCGTATAATAACCCAACAATGACATTTTACTCCCCACAGTACCTCTGGAGCAAGGGCCTTATAGTATCCCAATATTCCTGGAAGAGCAGGAACAAATTTGTAGGTAAAGACAGATAGCTACAAAGTGCACTGTACTCTCCTTCTGCAGAATCTGCAAGAGAATAAAAATACATTTAATAAGCACATTATTCTTACCTCGTCTACCTGTTGTTAAAATTTCTTCACTGTTTCTGCTCATTTCTATACTGTCCTTGTAGAAAGTATATTTCTTATTCTATAAAATCATAGGTGGCAAATAAGTCACAGTGATTTTTTAAAACATAAATTGGACTGAGTTACTCTCCTGATCAGATGGCTCTAATGTGTAACCACACTTAGTATAAAATACAAGGTCCCTATCATGGCACAAAGGTCCTGAGTGAGCTCCCCCAGGTTACCTCTTAGACCTGTTACCCTCCCCTTAGGCTTCAGCCATACCCATCTCTTTGCAAATCTTTGACTATGTCAAACAAAGCTTTGGGATTTATAACTTCTTCTACTTGGGAATATTCTTCCTTCAGCTGTCTGTCCAACTCAACCCTATCTATGCAGCTGTTTGTTCAATGTTGCCTCACAGAGAAGCATTCCATGAAAACTATCTTGGAGAGTTCCCCATTCTGACCCCAATACCCTCTATCCCTAAACTGCTTTATTCTGCCTTATAATATTTATCAGCATTTTATATTACATTATAGATATATAGTTCTCCATTTGTTTATAATTGGATTCCTCCCACTAAAAAGGACTTTATTTCACTCACAGCTGTACTATAGCACCTATGAGATAAATACATGACTTTTTTGTATGTGAGCAAACAACAGATCTGTACTGGCAATTACTTGAAACTTTATACAAGTCCATGAAAAACCTAGATCAGATAAGCCCTACTGAACTGAGCTCATGATAAACAAGCTGATAGCCAGTAACAGTAACCTAGTCAGCTTATTCTCAAAGGACAAAAGAAGAATCTGTGAGCAATTTTGGTGACTCTTCCAAAATCATAAACATTCTGAGTTTTACCCATACAAAGCCACAGGAAAGCTTCCCTACTTTGGTCTAAATACAGAGGGAAGTAAATGAGAAGGTAACCCTATTGCTTAAATATACATGGCCTCAGTTGGTTCCAGTGGGCTTTTACTAGCAGCACTTTCATTCTTCAATGTAATTATATGTCCAACTTTTAAAAATTTTTATTTATTTATTTTTTTTATTTTTAGACAGAGTCTTGCTCTGTCACCCACGCTGGAGGCAGTGGCATGATCTTGGCTCAGTGCAACCTCCACCTCCTGGGTTCAAGTGATTTTCCTATCTCAGCCTACCATATAGATGGGACTGCAGGTATGCGCCACCGTGCTCAGCTAATTTTTTTGTATTTTTAGTAGAGATGGGGTTTCAACACGTTGGCCTGGCTGGTCTTGAACTCCTGACCTCAAGTGATCCACCTGCCTCGGCCTCCCAAAATGTTGGGATTATAGATGTGAGCCGCCACACCTGGCCTGTATGTCCAAAATTTAAATAACATACTATATAGTAAAGTCTTCCACCTATGTAGCCAAACAATTCTCTTCTCTAAAGATAACCAATATTTCTAATTTCTTGTATAGCCTATCAGTTATATTCTGCATGCAGATATTTTATAAGCTCAAACCTATAACCTATGCATAGCTAGGACCTAAGAGTAGGTCTTGCAGATTAAAAGGCTAATATATTTTTTGGCCTCACCTTTAACCTATACCAGGGCAGGGCGCACATGTTTGAAGTGAACACAGATGAAAGAAATGGGGAGTGAAGAAGTGGTTTTGTCAGCTTTAACCTTGAATTTATGAGCTTGAAGGTAAGAACAAAGAAAATGTCTCATTTTCCACTCAGTGCTTTCATTTTTCTACTTACTGGTATGAAGTTCTTCAGGTGGAGTTACCCCAAGTAAATAGTGGAAAAACAATGCAGCACAGCGAAGATAAGGGGTGATGCCATTCTTCAGTGAGACCCACAAATACCAGCCAGGAATACTACACCCAATGCAGCTAAAAGACAATAATTCCAGAAGAGAACAGAATACTTATCAGACTAAAACCCTAGATGTAAACATATCCCCCTTTTCAAATACAAAGTTAAACATTTAGGTAATTTATTATCCATGCAATTTTTAAACATTTAAAAACAAAATAAAGTCCCAGCACTCTTGGAGGCCAAGGCAGGCGGATCACCTCAGGTTAGGAGGTCAAGACCAGCCTGGCCAACATGGTGAAACTCCAGTCTCTACTGAAAGTACAAAAATTAGTCAGGCATGGTGGTGGGTACCTGTAATCCCAGCTACTTAGGAGGCTGAGGTGGAAGAACTGCTTGAACCCAGGAGGTGGAGGCTGCAGAGTGGAAATCATGCCACTGTACTCCAGCCTGGGTAACAGAGCAAAACTCTGTCTTAAAAAGAAACAAAACAACAGCAACAAAAAAAACCCCAAAATATTTGAGTAGCTAATAGTTTCAGTGTTTAAATCTCCTAATAATTTCCTGAAGAAAAGTCACAAATCTTCTATCTTTTACCATGTAGATTTTTAAGGCAAGAAATTGCTCTCATTTTTCCTAGGTGAAGACAAAAAACAAAAACAAAGAGGCAACCAAAAAACCTACTTTAAAGAAATTTGACTCTTAAATAAAGTATACTCTTTATTTTAAAATTATTATTATTATTATTTTTTGAGATGGAGTCTTGCTCTGTCACCCTGGTTGGAGTGCAGTGGCAGGATTGTGGCTCACTACAACCTCTGCCTCCCAGGTTCAAGTGATTCTCCTGCTTCAGCCTCCTGAGTATCTGGGACTACAAGCACACACCAGTGCACCTGATTAATTTTTGTATTAATTTTTGTATTTTTAGTGGAGACAGGTCTCACGATGTTGGCCAGGATGGTCTCAAACTCCTGACCTTAGGTGACCCGCCCATCTCAGTCTCTCAAAGTGTTGGGATTACAGGTGTGAGCCACTGCGCCGGACTACTCTCTATTTTTAAGACAGGGTCTTGCTCTCTTGCCCAGGCTGGAGTGCAGTGTTGCAATTATGGCTCACTGCAGCCTTGACCTCCCGAGCTCAAATAGTCCTCCTGCCTCAGCCTCCCGAGTAGCTGGAATTACAAGTGTGCACCACCATTCTCAGCTAGGTTTTTTTTTTTTTTTTTTTTTTTTTTTTTCCCCAAAGTTGAGAAAAGGTCTCACTATCTTGCTCAGGCTGATCTCGAACTCCTGAACTCAAGCAATCTGCTTACCTCAGTCTCCCAAAGTGCTGGGATTACAGGTGTGAGCCACTGTGACTGACCTAAAATAAAGTATACCCTTCAACATAAAACTTAAAGTTTACTAAAGCTTTCATTTTTTTTTGTTGTTGCTTAGATTAAAACCTTGTAAATAAACAGAGGAAGAAAAAAATTTACCAATAACTAACCAAAGCAACTTGTTAGCTAAAAAAAATTAATAATTTCCTGGTTTCTATATTAGGATTGACTAATGATCTGTATGGCAGTTAAACTATTCTGTATGATACTGTAAAGTGAATCTTATGTAAACTATGAACCTGAGTTAATAATAATGTATTAATATTGATTAATCAATTGTAATGAATGGTACCTCCTTAATGCAAGGTATTAATAATTGGGGAACAGTTAGAGGGAGGGAGCAAATGAAGACTATACTTTCTGCTCAACATTTCTGTAAACCTAAAAGGCCTCTAAAAAAATCTGTTAACTTAAAAAAAAAATACTGGTAACGAGACTGGTGAGGGGAAATTGGCAGCAGACAAAGTTCAGCAGAGCACTCCTATTGTACTCCTACTATAACCTCTACACAAAGGTTAAATATATACAAAAATTTAAAACATATTATTATGTATATATGTATAAATTATATATGTATTACATATGTTATACAGTATATGTACATATTATGTATATATTATATGCATATTAAAATATGACTGCCAATGTATTTTCCGTATTACTCATAAGAGCCTTAACCTGTAATTATATGCATGCACTGAGTGCATCAATTGTATGGATCACTGTAAAAAGACAACCTATTTTTCATTTTCTACATTTATTTTAATCCTAAATACTCCATTTGTTAAAATCCAATCATCTTTTATCTATGACTCCAGAACAGTTTACAAAAGTAAAGATGTGTCAAACTTGTTTCAGTCTCAGAAACAAGCAAGTGGGTAGCTGTTATTCTAACCTACTACCTTTTACTTCAAAGTAAAATAATCAAAACACGTTTTCTTCACTGTAAGCCTATCCTGTGCAAACAAAGCCATGCTAAAAGCCCTTAACTGATTTTTTTTTTTTTTTTTTTAAAGAGAGAGACAGGGTCTTGTTATGTTGCCCAGGCTGGTCTCAAACTCCTGGGTTCAAGTGATCCTTCTGCCTTGGTCTCTCAAAGTGCTGGGATTACAGGCATGAACCACTGCACCTAGCTTCATAACTGATTATTATTTTTTATTACACTCTAAGTTCTGGGATCACACACCCAACAGGCCCTGGTGTGTGATACTCCCTTCCCTGTGCCCCTATGTTCTCATTGTTCAACTCCAACTTATGATTGGGAACATGCGGTGTTTGATTTTCTGTTCCTGTGTTAGTGTACTGAAAATGATGGTTTCTAGTTTCATCCATGTCACTGCAAAGGACATGAACTCATCCTTTTTATGGCTGCATAGTATTCCACGGTGTGTATCTGCCACATTTTCTTTATCCAGTCTTACATTGATGGGCATTTAGATTGGTTCCAAGTCTTTGCTATTGTGAATGGTGCTGCAATAAACATACGTGTGCATAAGTCTTTATAGAAGAATGATTTATAATCCTTTAGGTATATACCCAGTAATAGGATGGCTGGGTCAAATGGTATTTCTAGTTCTAGATACTTGCAGAATCGCCACACTGTCTTCCACAATGGTTGAACTAATTTATACTTCCACCAACAGTGTAAAAGCATTCCTATTTCTCCACATCCTCTCCAGCACCTGTTGTTTCCTGATTTTTGAATGATCGCCATTCTAACTGGCGAGAGATGGTATCTCATTGTGGTTTTGATTTGCATTTATCTAATGACCAGTGATGATGAGCTTTTTTCCATATGTTTGTTGGCCACATAAATGTCTTCTTTTGAGAAAAGCGTCTGTTTATATCCTTCGCCCACTTTTTGATGGGGTTTTTTCTTTTCTTGTAAATTTGTTTAAGTTACTTGTATGTTCTGGATATTAGCTCCTTGTCAGATAGATAGATTGCAAAAGTTTTCTCCCATTCTGTAAGTTGCATGTTCAATTTGATGATAGTTTCTTTTACTGTGCAGAAGCTCTTTAGTTTAATTAGATCCCATTTGTCAATTCTGGCTTTTGTTGCAATTGCTTTTGGTGTTTTAGTCATGAAGTCTTTGCCCATGCCTATGTCCTGAAAGTCCCCAAAACTCCTTAAGCTGATAAGCAGCTTTAGCAAAGTCTCAGGATACAAAATCAATGTGCAAAAATCACAAGCATTTCTATACATCAATAATAGATTAACAGAGCAGCAAATCATGAGAAAATTCCCATTCACGACTGCTACAAAGAAAATAAAATACCTAGGAATACAACTTATAAGGGATGTGAAGGATCTCTTCAAGGAGAACTACAAACCACTGCTCAAGGAAATAAGACAGGACACAGACAAATGGTAAAACACTCCATGTGCATGGACAGAAAGAATCAATATCATGAAAATGGCCATACTGCCCAAAGTAATTTACAGATTGAATGCTGTATCTATCAAGCTACCATTGACTTTCCTCACAGAATTACAAAAAACTACTTTAAAGTTCATATGGTATCAAAAAAGAGCCCATATAGCCAAGACAATGCTAAGCAAAGACAGGACAAAGCTGGAGGCATCATGCTACCTGACTTCATACAATACTACAAGGCTACAGTAACCAAAACAGCATGGTACTGGTACCAAAAAACATACATAGACCAATGGAACAGAACAGAGACCTCACAAATAACACTACACATCTACAACCATTTGATCTTTGACAAACCTGACAAAGACAAGCAATGGGGAAAGGATTCCCTATTTAATAAATGGTGTTGGGAAAAATGGCTAGCCATACGCTGAAAACTGAAACTGGACTGTTTCCTTACACCTTATACAAAAATTAACTCGAGATAGATAAAAGATTTAAACCATAAAAACCCTCGAAGAAAACCTAGGCAATAACTGATTATTTTTAACTGGAATTTAAATGATTCAAATGTTACTTACACGGCCCAACAACTGAACAAGAAATGGAATGATTAAAAGAATGAACTAATAGATTATTACTCACCCACTTGTATATTGAGAAATTTCTGCAAAGAAAGAAGATGCAGAACGAGCCTCTTCACTGTCTTCTTGAACCTGAGCAAGGGGTAGGCCTGAAAAAGAAATTTTGCGAGATGAATTATGTATTTGCTATTCAGTTTATAAATTATACTTCAATTTCATGGTTCCAAGATAATAAACAATAGATTCATTCAACTGAGGTTGTTTCCTTTTGAGACAGAATTTCACTCTTTTTGCCCAAGCTGGAGTATAATGGCATGATTTTGGTTCACCGCAGTTTCCGCCTCCCCGATTCAAGCGATTCTCCTGCCTCAGCCTCCCAACTAGCTGAGATTACAGTCATGTGCCACTGGCCTAGCTAATTCTTTATTTTTAGTAGAGACAGGGTTTCACCATGTTTGTCAGGCTGGTCTTGAACTCCTGACCTCAAGTGACCCACTTCCAAAGTGCTGGGATTACAAGGCGTGAACCACCATGCCCGGGGCTCCATCTGTTTTTAATCTAAGTAGTTGATGCTGAATATTAAAGTTGTGAGGTAAACTTTATATATTAGCTGGAGAAACAAATAGGGCAGAATAACTAAACATGGATGTTTAATATTTACTTGCTAAACATGTAAATACTTCATCATAATATGACCGTGGAAATAAATCAATAGTTAGCAACCTGCTTTGGGTTCCTAGGAATCTTAGCCGGTAGGCAGAAATTAAACCTTTAGAAAAGGAAGTAGGTGTCTGTCCTGCCTTCATGCTCAAGCAAAGGGTCTCATAAAAAGAACTTGTTGAGGTTATTTTCCTCCATCAACCTATCCTTAAGGTAGACCATCCTAAACCTTTCTGGCAACTGCCAGTTACTCTTACACTTACATTAAAGCTCTGGATAAGCCACTCTGAATTTCAGAATTATTGTATTAAAACTGATATAGAAATGTCTACCTTGCAGTTTGCTCTGAGGGATGGTTATAGCACATTTGAGTAGTGCTCTGTTGTTTTAAAGATGCTTTTGTTTATGTATTAATTCATCTGGAAGGTCACGATTCAAGTTGTCCTCAGTAATTTTATCATATCTTGAATGATTACTCCTAGTCCTTTTCACTTTCCAAACAACATCTCTTTATTGCTATACTTTAAAAAAATATATCATGAATCATATGATTGAAAAAATCATACTGATTTTCTCAATTCAAATGTAAGAGAGTTCAATAATTCTAAGTTATTCTTTACAAATTTGAGGTAAATTTTACCTGCAATAAAATGCACAAATATTAAGGGTTCTAGTTGATGATGAGTTTAACAAATGCACACACCCATAAAACAAAATTTTTATTTTTTAATTAATACACTTTTTTTAGAGAGAAGTTTTAGATTCACAGCAAAATTGAACAGAGTACAAAGGATTCCCTCTGTCTCTATGCACACACAACATCCCCCACCTATCAACATTCAGCACCAGTGTAGTACACTTGTTATTATCAATGAACCTACATTGCTAAATCATTATCACTCAAAGTCCACAGTTTACATTAGGGTTCATTCCTGGTGTTTACATTCTATGAATTTGGACAAATGTGTAGTAACGACATGTATGCACCATTGTAGTATTTTTCGGAACAGTTTCACTGCCTTAAAAATCCTCTATGCTGGCTGGGCTTTAGGAGGCCGAGGCAGGCAGATCACGAGGTCAAGAGATCGAGACCATCCTGGCCAACATGGTGAAACCCCGTCTCTTGTAAAAAATACAAAAATTAGCTGGGTGTGGTGGTGTGTACCTGTAGTCCCAGCTAATCAGGAGGCTGAGGCAGGGGAATTGCTTGAACCAGGGAGGCAGAGGTTGCAGTGAGTTGAGATCGTGCCACTGCACTCCAGGCTGGCGCCTCCAGACAGAGCGAAGACTCCGTCACAAAAAAAAAAAAAAAAAAAAAAAAAAAAAAAAAAATCCTCTATGCAGTGCCTATTCAGCCCTCTCCCAATGCCCTTATCCCTGGCAATCACTAATCTTTTTACTGACTCTATAGTTTTGCCTTCTCTAGAGTGTCATATAGTTGGAATCATATAGTATATAACCTTTACAAATCGACTTCTTTTAGCTAGCAGAAGTCTATCTTTTCATCATTTGGTAACTCATTTATTCATTTATTTATTTTTTTAAGATGGAGTCTCACTCTGTTGCCCAGGCCAGAGCGCACTGGTGCCATCTTGGCTCACTGCAACCTCCATCTCCCAGGTTCAAGCAATCCTCTGCCTCAGCCTCCTGAGTATATGGAATTACAGGCACCGGCCACCATGCCCCACTAATTTTTTTTTGACATTTTTAGTAGAGACAGGGTTTCACCATCTTGGCCAAGGTGGTCTTGAACTCCTGACCTCGTGATCCACCTGCTTTGGGCCCTCAAAGTGCTGGGATTACAGGCGTGAACCACCATGCCTGGCCACTTTTTTTTTAATTTTTTGAGACGGAGTCTTGCTCTGTCACCCAGGCTGGAGTGTAGTGGTACGGTCTTGGCTCACTGTAACCTCTGCTTCCTGGGTTACAGCAATTCTCCTGCCTCAGCCTCCTGAATAGCTGGAATTACAGATGTGCGCCACCATGCCTGGCTAATTTTTGTACTTATTTAGTGGAGACAGGATTTCACTATGTTGGCCAGGCTAGTCTCAAACTCCTGACCTCAGGTAATCTTCCTGTCTTGGCCTCCCAAAGTGATAAGATTACAGGTGTTAGCCACTGTGGCCGGCCGACAACTCATTTCTTTTTAGCACTGAATAATATTTCCACTGTCTGGATAAATCATAATTTATTTATCCACTCACTTATTGAAGGATACCTTGGTTGCTTCCAAGATTTTGTAATTATGAATAAAGCTGCTATAAACATCCTTGTGCACAATTTTGTGTGAAACTTTCAATTCATTTTGGTAAATAAAAGTTTTCAATTCATTTGGGTAAATAAAAGAAGTATGACTGATGGATCATATGGTAAGAGTATATTTAGTTTTGTGAGAAACTGTCACAAACTGTCTTCCAAAGTGATGGTACCATTATGTATCCCCATCAACAACAAATGAGAGTTTCTGTTGCTCCACATATGTGTTAGCATTTGGTGGTGTCAGTGTTTTAGATTTTGGCAATTCTAACATGTGTACAGTGGTATCTCATTGTTTTAATTTGCAATTCCCTAATGGCATATAGATGCTGAACATCTTTCCATATGATCAGTTATCATCTGTATATCTTCTGTGGTGAGGTGTCTTTTCAAGTGTTTTGCCCATTTTTATCTTTTAGAGACAGGATCTTGCTATACTGCAAGTCTCAAACTCCTGGGCTCAAACAATCTTCCTGCCTTGGCCTCCCAAAATGCTGAGATTATAGGCGTGTGCTATCATACCTGAGTCTCGCTCTGTTGCCAGGCTAGAATGCAATGGCACGATATCAGCTCACCACAACCTATGCCTCCTGGGTTCAAGTGATTCTTATCTCTCAGCTTCTCAAGTAGCTGGGACTACAGATGCGTACCACCACACCAAGATAATTTTTGAATTTTTAGTACAGACAGGTTTTCATCATGTTGGCCAGGCTGGTCTTAAACTCCTGGCTGAAGTGATCTGCCCATCTTGGCCTCCCAAAGTGCTGGTATTACAGGCCTGAACCACAACACCCAGTCCCACTGCCCATTTTAAAACTGGGTTGTTTTCTTATTGTTGATTGTTAAGAGTTCTTTGCATACTTTGGATAACAGTTCTTTATCAGAAGTGTTTGTTGCAGTACTTTCTCCCAGGCTATGGCTTGTCTCTCATTCTCATGACATTGTCTTTAAATGAGATGACTTTTTAGATATAAAACCAAAGGCATAATCTGTGAGATAAATAATTGATAAGCTAGACTTCATTATAATAAAATTAAAAACGTATTCACTTAATGACATTAACATAATTAATTACAGTATTACCCAACATAATTTCAAAATAGCAATACTAGTTACCACTGTTATCACTTACATAAGTTCAACTTAAGATTTTTTGAGAGGAGGCAGTTCTTTTGTTGTCAGAACATAACCCACTAGGGAAGTACAGTTGAAATACTATGTTTTAAACTCACCTGAAGTAACCAGTTTCTTGATATGTTTTATACAGTAGTTAGTTTCACTTGTTGTTTTCAATTTAAAAAAATTATCTTCTCCCATTTTATTTTTTAACTAAGTAAAAGATTTATAACCAGGTCAGATGACTCATGCCTGTAATCCCAGCCCTTTGGGAGGCCAAGTTGGGTGAATCACAATGTCAGGAGTTCAAGATCAGCCTGGCCAATGTGGTGAAACTCCGTCTCTACTAAAAATACAAAAAATTGCAATAGAGCAAGGCTCCATCTCAAAAAACAAAACACCAAAAAATTAGCCAGATGTGGTGGTGGGCGCCTGTAATCCCAGCTATTCAGGAGGCTGAGGCAGAGAATTGCTTGAACCTGGGAGGTGGAAGTTGCAGGGAGCCGAGATTGTGCCTCTGCACTCCAGCCTGGGCAACAGAGCAAGGCTCTGTCTAAAAAAAAAGAAAGAAAGATTTATAGAGTTCTAAACTCAAAACAGTATTTAAAAAGGACATTAACTGAAGGCTGGGCACCTTGGCTCATGCCTGTAATACTAGCACTTGAGAGGCTGAGACAGGTGGATCACCTGACATCAGGCGTTTGAGACCATCCCAGCCAGCACAGGGAAAACACATCTCTATTAAAAATATAAAAATTAGCTGGGTGTGGTGGTGTGTCCCTGTAGTCCCAAGTGTTAGGGAGACTGAGGCAGGAGAATCACTAGAACCCGGGATGCAGAGGTTGTGGTAAGCCAAGATCGTGCCACTGTACTCCAGCCTGGGCAACAGAAAGAGATTCCCATACCCCCCTCCCAAAAAAAAAGGCGAGGCATGGTGGCTCATGCCTGTAATCCCGGAACTTTGGGAGGCAGAGGTGGGCAGATCACAAGGTCAGGAGTTCGTGACCAGCCTGGCCAGCATGGTAAAACCCTGTCTCTACTAAAAAAAAAAAAATAAATTAGCCAGGCATGGTGGCACTTGCCTATAGTCCCAGCTACTTGGGAGGCTGAGGCAGAATTGCTTGTACCCAGGAGGCGGAGGTTGCAGTGAGCTGGGATTGTGCCACTGCACTCCAGCCTGGGTGAGAGCGAGACTCTGTCTCAAAACAAATAAAAAAAGAAAGGCATTCATTGGAATTTTGGCTCAAATCCCTATGTCTTTACCTTACCCTAGAGGCAACTATTTTTAGTTTTTAATTCTGTTGTCTCTCTGTGTGTGTGTGTTTTTTTTTTTTTTTCAGATGGAGTCTCACTCTGTCACCCAGGTTGGAGTACAATGGTGCAATCACGACTCACTGCAGTCTCCACCTCCCAGGTTCAAGTGATTCTCCTGCCTCAGACTCCTCCCAAGCAGCTGTGATTACAGATACCCACTACCATGACCGGCTCATTTTTGTATTTTTAGTAGAGACAGGGCTTCACCGTGTTGGTCAGGCTGGTCTCCTGACCTCAGGTGATCCACCCACCTTGGCCACCGAAAGTACTGGGATTACAGGCGTGAGCCACCATGCCTGGCCTCTACTGTCTCTTTTATAAATCACATAAGCAAATATGTATATAAATATATATATATATACACACACACACACACACACACACACACACACACACACACAAGATACCTTACACAAAAATGCTATATGATAACCATTATTCTGTACCTTGCTTTTTTAACTTATTGTATCATGGAGATCAATTCATATCAGATCTTGTTCATTCCTTTTTAAAACTGCAGGGAATTCCATTATATGGTACATCATAGGTTATTCAATGAATCCCCACTGACGGACAGCTAAATTGTTGCTGGTTTTTTTTTTTTGATATCCCAAATAATATCACAATAAATAATGTCATGCTTGTATCATTTCATATTTTTGCCAGTAAAACTTTGGGATAGATTCCTAGAAATGGAGTTGGTGTGCCACAGGTTAAACATACATGTAATTTTGCCATATTTTATTCTGACATCACTTTAATTGTGTTTGTCCTCTAAATTATATGAACCTTCAGTGGCCCTTACTTTATCAGTCACTAAAACCCACAACCAGATTTTGCTCTGGTATTTTTTTTCCCTTCTACTTTTAAGAGATGACATCTTGCTCTGTTGCCCAGGTTGGAGTGCAGTGGTGCAGTCACAGCTCTCTGCAGCCTCAAGCTCCTGGGCTCAAGTGATTCTCCCACCTCAGCCTCTCAAGTAGCTGGGACTACAGGCACACACTAGCACGCTCAGCTAATTAAAAAAAAAAAAAAAATTGTAGAGATGGGGGTCTCGCCAATTTGCGCAGGCTGGTCTCAAACTCCTGAGCTTGAGTGATCTTCCTGCCTTGGCCTCCCAAAGTACTGGGATTACAGGCATGAACCACTGCATTCAGACCCCAGACTTTGCTTCCTATTAAAAACCAGACTCTAAAAGAACAACTGTCATCATCATTCCATAATGTTGTATTACTCATGTATCTTCAACTGACTCAAAAGACATTTCATGAGTGCTTACAGGGTTTAACAAAGGTTACTAGATACTTGCAGCTTTAGAGGGAAGATGCTGAAATTTCATTGTTTCCTATCATCAAGAAACTTACACTGAGGACAAAGGAGCAGAGGGAGAACAGAACCAGGGAAAGGAGGAGGACAACAGTAAGACATAACCACAAATAACTACAAAACAAGATACTAATGACAAATGTTGCAAGGGGAACAAAGTACTATTCCAGCTGAAGGAATTAAAAATGGTTTCAGGGACCTCCTTATCAGAAGGCTGAAAAAGCTCATATAGGGACAGACTTTGAGGATGGGAAATTTGAAAAAGAGAGAAAAGCAGGTCGAAGTGATCTTCCTGCCTATCTGCAGAGTAGCTGCTAATCAAAGAAAAAGGTAGTTTCAGCTAATTATCTTTTTCACAGCTTATTCTACCTTTCCTTGCTTAAATACTAGTCATAAAAAAAACCAGATGAATAATCATTCAATAAAAAATATAACATGGAACCTAGAAATACATAACATAATCACAAGCATAATTAATTATGCCAGTAAAGTACGGCAAAATGTTATTCACAGTTAACATCCCGATGAAAACTTTACCTGTGTCTATTGTAAGTAGTATCTGAAGCATGTGTGCCATGGTGATCAAATGGAAGAGATAAAGGTGGTTATAGGAAGAACTAACTGAAGAAGGCTGCAGATCAACAGTGTCATCCCAATACAAGGATGGGAATGCTAACACAGCACCCACCTATGAGAGAAAAATGAATATTAACATAGGTAATGATAAAAGACTAACATAAATTAATGTCATAACTAAATGTGAAGGGCACCACATGCTACAGTGTGTTTGTGTGTGTGTCTTTTAACAAATGCCATATTTTTCTTATTCAATAGAATATATTAGAATATAATGTACCATAAATGGAGGATGATGGTCCCACCAAACAGGTTATTCATTTGCTGTATCTATTTATTGTAGGTCTAAGTAGTGGTTCTGAACTCTGGTTCACAATATTCAACATTACAGGAGTACTTAAAACAGTACTGATACAAAGGACCTAGCCTAATCCAACCAAATGAGAATCTCTTGGGGTAGGGCATTCTTTAATGGCATTCTTTTCAAAGTTCCCCAGGAGATTCCAAAAGACCCTCAGGGTTGACAACCACTAGGCAGAGGCCTAGAGAATGAGGGATGAGGATGCTGGCTAATCCTGCATCCAAAAACTCCATGCTCCCAATCCCCATACTGCTTTCTCTACAAAACTTGGTTTGAAGGAATGAGATCATCACAGCGATGGAAAAGTCTCTGCAAAAAACCTAAGGGCAGTTGCCATCCATCCACAGGTGTTTGGGGAAGCCTAGATACACCCATGGTCTGGTCGCTATCACCAAATAATTAATGATTTTAAGAGAGCTCATACAGTCATTGACTGTATATCATATATACAACTTAAGAAAAAGGCGAAAGGGGAAGCATAATATGAATTAGAAAAGGCATGCCTGTACAGATACCCGTTAATGTAATCAACCAGAACAAGACCTATTACAAATTGATGGTAAACAGAATGGACAGGAGAGATCAAACTTTATAGATTAAACGCCAATAATTTATAATCTTGAACAAAGGGCATGAATGAGGAAAACACACGAAATTATCAACATGAGGGATTTAAACAAAATTACTGAACACTTACCAAAACGTGAAACAGATCTATAGATAGAAGGCATGGTGTATCTTCTGATTTTAGGTTAGGAAGAACAACTAAAACAAACAAAAAGTTAATATAATTGAGTCAGTAAGAGAGCAATGTAGTTAAATAAAATGCAAACTAAAAACACCTAAACCAAACGTATAACAGGATTATAAAATACAGAAAGTAATACATCACACCGTTGAGATATGGAAACCATAATGAGAGACAAACTGAACTGAGAAAAGGCTGCTAGAAAGCCCTGGATTGAATTTAAGGGTTAAAAGGTAAAACTTAGGAGGAAATGGCACATGAACTAGGATAACTAAAATACAGAGATTGTTTAAGAAACATTTGTTGAGGCCGGGCGCAGTGGTTCATGCCTGTAATCCCAGTGATTTGTGAGACCAAGGCAGGCAGAACGCACGGTCAAGATATTGAGACCATCCTGGCCAACATGGTAAAACCCTGTCTCTACTAAAAATACAAAAATTAGCTGGGCATGGTGGCTTATGCCTGTAGTACCAGCTACTCAGGATTCTAAGGCAGGAGAATCGCTTGAACCAAGGAGGTGGAAACTGCAGTGAGCCAAGATCACGCCACTGTGCTCTAGCCTGGCCAAAGAGCGAGACTCCATCTCAAAAAAAAAAAAAAAAGAATAAAAGAAAAAGAAACATTTGTTGAATGAATGAGAAGGGTTACTTTTATACAATGTTCCCTCTTATCACTTTTCTCTGACTATACCTTTCTAAATGTTCTGTGATACATAATATACGGACAAAATTGGGGTTGTGGGGTGGGAAAACATGCAAAGCAGAATAGGTGAAATGAGGATGGAGAAGATCCTCTTGAAAAAAATTGGATAATGGTTTATGTAGGTTGATCATCTGGAGGAAATGCAGATGGCTCAAAAGCTATCATCTTTCTAATCTTGTCCATGTCTAAAGAAAACAGTAATTCCAGAAGTGAGAGCAAGGGTGGCAAAGAAGTGAAATTAATAAGAGAAACCGTTTTGTTATATAAAAATGAGGTAATTAATTGCATCTAAATAAAGCCGTTATTTCTATTTTTATTTATTTATTTGTGAGATGGCGTCTCCTTCTGTCGCCAGATCTCTCCCAGTGTCGTGATCTTGGCTTACTAGATTCAAGTGATTCTCCTGCCTCAGCCTCCCGAGTAGCTGGGACTATAGGTGCACACCACCATGCCCAGATAATTTTTGTATTTTTAGTAGAGACAGGGTTTCACCATGTTGGCCAGGATAGTCTCAATCTCTTGACCTCATGATCCGCCCGCCTCAGCCTCCCAAAGTGATGGGATTACAGGTGTAAGCCACCGCACCCAATTTATAAAGCAGTTATTTTTAAAAATGAGGAAGAGAAGCCTCTTTTCAGACTAGGTCAATTTCTTTTTTTTTTGAGACAGAGTCTCACTCTGTCACCCAGGATGGAGTGCAGTGGCATGATGCTAGCTCACTGCAACCTCCACCTCCCGGTTCAAGTGATTCTCATGTCTCAACCTGCAGAGTAGCTGGAATTACAGACACATGCCACCACACCCAGCTGACTTTTTTGTATGTTTTTTAAGTATAGTGAGGGTTTTACAATGTTGACCAGGCTGGTCTTGAATTTCTGACCTCAGGTGATCCACCTGCCTTGGCCTCCCAAAGTGCTGGGATTACAGGTGTGAGCCACCAAGCCTGGCCATGAGACTAGGTTGATTTCTTTTTTTTTTTTTTTTTTTTTTTT